CAATTCTCAAATTCGTATCGAAAATTGTGGAAATTACGCACTCTTACTTTCGCGAAAAGTTAGCATTTTAATGAAAACGTTACTTCGAGCTTTATCGGTCAGGTTTAAAGGAAAACTAGATTGATTAAGAAAAACATGCTCTCGATATGTTTCAACATCGCGGTCGTTACCCCCATTAACAAACATACTGTTTTTTGTTGTATCTGATAATGTTTAGAAAGCTTAAAATCATGAGATAAAGTGCAGTATGAAGTAAATAAAAAAAATGATAGCAAAAATAAGCGGTTAGTTTTGGGTTGAACTTCGAAGAAGGCGACCGAACACGTGCATTGTGCGCTCAATTGATATCATTTAGTTTAATCTACAGGTGAAAAAGCGGCGTGTGCGCGCGTCGTGACGCCCACGTTCTGTTAACAACCCCGGACGCGGCCGCTGAACCCGTCAGTTTGGCACGTACTTTCAACCCTATTGGATATCATGTCATCGACTTACTGTGTATAAAATAATGAATCGATGTGAATTAGTGTATCACATGGAAAGTAATCCAGGTAATTAATAATGGTCGCGTTTTAATTGGTTTTTGTTTTTTTTTGGGGAACAAAATCCTAACGGCCCATATTAACGGGAAGCGATTGAAACTGACAAAACACGTGTACATTGACCCTGACAATATAGTTTATTTTTGCACAACAATATATTGCGTACGATCGCGACATCTATGTATTGAAATGTTAAACGAATTTACAGATTTCATGGAGAACGATGCGCGTATTTCACGTCTTGTTCATTCATAATTTAAAATAGTTTAGGGGCTGATCTCATTTTTAAGTTGTACACGGTGTTGTTGCCCTTGTTCGTCGGACGTTCTTAATTGTCCACGTGTAGATCACTAGCATATTATAATTATTGTATAGAAAAGGGAAAAACGGGTGACTGACCTACAAGGAGGGCGCTGGCCTGGCACTGCCACAATAATTTCTGCTGTTACGCGCGCGTGTTACGTAAGTGCGGCCCCTGTCGCAAGATCACCTATACCTACTACTTTATTTACTATATCAATCACTTGTGTCCTTTAGAAATTACTTCTTTTTCATAGCGTGTCATCGAAATTTGCTTTCTTTGACCTCAAAATTGTCAATTCACAACGTTTTTGTTCGTTTACTTTCGATATGTAAACAATATGGTGTAATAACCCTAATAGTAATGAAAATTGTGGTAACAATCCCCCGACCGGGAGGAATGATCTCCTGTGCAAATCTTAACGAGTTCATCCCAAAGAGTTCATCGTTCGCGAGGTCGTTGGTTGCATGGTGCACGCGAATGCGAACAATAACAACGATTGCAGATCTAGCCAGATCGCTACTGAGGTAAGGTAAAAGTAACGGTGTCCGAGTTCGACGCTCTTTTACTTGTAGGTATAGGCGCATGCCTGTTTAATTGAACTAAATTATAAATAAAGCAACTCGCCATTTGCATTTGGCGCCATCTATTTGAGAAAAAATTCATAATCGGTATACATATTCATGTAAAAACTAGACAGCAGCGAAAGGGTCACAAAAAAACAGGTGAAGTTTTTTTTATTTGAAGTTGATGAAGACGCTCTTCAAATTTCAGTATTTAAATCTGGGACAATAATAGTGATTTTTCTATTATGTACCTATACCTATTATAAAATATGTAGGTTGATTAACTCGAATGACCCTATCCTCTTCGCGGTTAACGAAACTAACTCGGATAAAATGTCGACTAGTAGTCTGGGTTGGCGAAAGTTTCAATAAGGAAACCACAAATAAAGTTTAGTGCGAAAAATCTTGCATAAATCAATGGTTGTTATCAATGAAACTTTATACCTATCGAATATTCGCCCGCTAGAAAAATGCGCGTTTAGACACAATTTCAAATTCCTTTGAATCTATACTTTTCTCTAAAGAATCACCCTTTAAGTCAGTCATGAACCTACTCAATTTTGACAACATTAGATACGGTAAATTATTATTGTTTTCTGTACCGATTGGGAGCAACATGTTTATTGACGATTGTGGATTTAGTTTCGTATAAACTATTTTCCATTTTTCAGTCTCAATTAGGTTTTGTATTTGTAACAGCTGACGATTGAATACCATCATAAAGTATCCATTAAATGCCGGATTCTTCCTGGGGACTAATTTACCCGGAGACAAGCGAATTTTGTAATAAAGATAGGTAGTAGAACTTTAAAATTGCATCGTTTGGGGGTGTAGGTTTCTTGAACGCGAATTTTTTTAACTAGTTCCTTGTAAGAATGGATTCCGACAGGTGCGATTTTTGTGACGAAATAGATACCTAAAGTTATACCACGACCCAAAATGTTGTGTACCGGTGGCTACAGGACAAGATAATGATACTGTATAGCCTCACGCATATTTTGGATGGTCTCGCTCTGTCATTTTCGGAATTGAAATACAATATTTATGGCAGTCTTGTAAAACCATTTGAAAGCAAGGCCGTAGTCAATGATCGGCACTTAACCGCCACGTACCCAAAGGCCTTTCGAAATAGCAACATCACTATCGTTACGGTAATTACGGGTCTTTGATCTCTTGAGTGTTAGTTTTCTAAAATTCTTAGAAGCGATAGCCTGAAACCGTACTCGATCGCAATTTTCCCAAATATTCTGAGTTTAATACATTCATGTCGGTCCTTTCACCTGTAGCACTGCCGATAACGCAAGCTCGGTCGATTACCTAAATAGTTGGATGCATTTTAGCTACGAATGTTAACAATTGTGGACAAAGAATTAAGGTTTACCGTGAAATCATTTACTTCCATCCACCATATCTAAAGTGACTAATTACGGTTTTACAGCGGTAGGCCAGTCACCTATTTCGTCTTCCTTCTTTTACCAAATACTAGAAATTTCTAAATCGTCGCAAAGTTCGATGGCCGGGCTTATGTCAATAACTCATTAACATTGATAATAGCGGAGGTCACGGAGAGGAGGAGGTGGTAGGTTCTTTCTTTAGTCGAAGAGCGTTACTCGTTGGATGAATGCATAGTAAACGCACTTATTATATTAACAAACGTAATCCGTTAGAAGTGTGTACACACCATCATTTTGTATGCGGTGCATATCGTCGTCGCACAGTCAACAACCTTTCCAAACCGGAAATGGAAATAATAATAGGAAAAAAAGTAAAATTTGCCACGGGCGGTTTCAATACCTACCATTAATGGGAAACAACATGTGGTGGCGCGTGCATCTCTCTGATTACAGCCCTTGTCCCTTGCGTAATTCAATGCTCGGAATAACTGTATAGAATGATTTTTTGCCACGCGCTGTCAGCTTTCATTTTCTTCCTGTAACCGAATATTTCGTCCTGTCACGGTGTTCTGGCCGGAAATCTTAAAATTCCGTATTAATTTTTAAATTGCGTAGGGAGAGCTGCAATAAAACACATTGTGTAATTGCACAATGTCTAACGGTGATTTTTTTTAAAACCGTAGGTCCGATCATAAACTAAATTTCCCGAAGAATGTACCTACGCATAGAATTGGTATTCTCTTTTCTCAAGTTCAATGTCAGTCAGTCGCATCTTTTTTCCTGGGTCGCCGACTGGCCATGGCCGTAGTAGCATTTCTTAATAATAGATTCACATGCAGCAAAAACTAACCCCTCTTACTGGTGACGCGCGAAATGTTCCGGTATAAACCGAGCGTGATGTGATGATACAGCAAAAGTTTGAGCGCGTTTCTGTACCACTGGGGTAAGTGACTTTATGTGACCTCAGATATATATATTGTATGTATTGGCGAATGTTCTCGAAAAATACCGAGTTGTTCGGTAGGTTACTGGCCCGAAGTGGCTTAAAAAATTTGTGTCGTCTTAGTTGAGCTTTGAAATTAAATAGCGATTACCGAATTAGGCTAGGGAAGTAACATCGGTCATTGTGAGCCGACTTTGTGTAAATGGTCATACACCTTTCAATTGTTTACATTTTCCTAGAGCTTCATAATAAATAAAGAAAGGGTCACGAACTTATTCCGTGTCGATCGATGTCAACACGATGATGAAGCAATTCACTAGATATTAATAGAACTGGTTCTCTATTTCAACATTTAAAGAAGAAGTTAACAGCCCAAACCAAATGAAACACACAAGTAGCGAAAGGGATTTTATTTACCTCAATTTCGATTAGTCGAGAGAGTGAGTGAGTGAGTGTGTGCGCAATCATTGCGGCCTTGGCCGCTACGCTGCACGCTTGTCTGTGTAATTCAGTCAAGGTTCGCGGACGTTGAACTTCCTTCCTCGACCGTGGAGTTGCCCCTCTACGTATTGCACGAGGTGGGGCTTGGTGCACGGAGACCAATCCTTAATTTCCACAAACAACCGGGATTGGCTTTACTTTGAGTATTGTAGTCAGTGACCTCCAACTTGAAAATCCGATGAACTCACAAGTTGGCAGCTTTTGATGCTAAAATATGAACCCAGACCCCCCACCCTTTACATAAGCTCTTGGCCGAGAATCGCGCGCTGCCCTTCAGGTAGTTGACGGTCTTATTTACTATACACTGAAGTCGTCGGTCCCAGTTGGTACCGGGACTTTCACTCTCGCTATTATAGTTAGTTCCTACGAAGCTAAAGTTGTTTGTGTCAGTGAAAGGTGTCTTATATTCTTCACGTGTCGTTTGCTTACGAGTGATGCAAACTTTTTACTTTTGTTGTTGTTAATGTGAATTTGTGTATTTGCGATGATTCTATCACCGGATAGCAGTGTACAGAATCTTGCCCAATTGCCAGAATCTACCACTCATTTCTGCGACATACCCGTCCACAAAGAACCGGCACTTAATTTAGGTAAACGTAAACATTGACTTTCTCTAGTATACCTACATACATATCGTTACATAATCAATATAGCAAAACGTCGAAGGAGAAAGTTTCCTTCCACTTTCTTTTCATAACGTGTGCGGTAATAATTTTTGGAGATTGCGTAAAAACTAATTTCTGTTTTTTCTTGCAGAATTTGACGGAACGACGGTGCTATGCCGGGTCTGCGGCGATAAGGCGTCCGGATTTCATTATGGTGTTCATTCCTGCGAAGGCTGCAAGGTAAGTTTTCGTTATACCCTTCAGTCAATTATTTGAAATTAATGGGCTCGTCGCAAGCGAAATCGAATCCCGCATCTCGCCCTTAGCCCACAAACTACCTGAGTTTATGGCGCAAAAAGTAGGTTGAAGGTCGGTTAACGTAATGTCAACGTCCGGTGCACGCGCTGTAAATGGCGTTGCGCGGGTGTCCTTTATGGAATAAAAATCTTGGCCAACTCGACTAAGCGATCGGCCTTCATAACCTTTCCAAAAAAAAACAAGATTCAAGGTTTTTATAAAAGTTCAAGTACAGTCTTTGTTCGGAGAAATACAACAGTCATGGGTTTCGCATCGTCAAAACCGCCCGCATTCGCACCTGCACGTCTCCCCTGACGTAAAGGTTTTGTTCGATAACAAAGAAGTATTGCAATCCTTTCCATTAAATTTTGGGGTCGGCAAAAAATTGCCTAGTGATTATTATTAAAATGGCAGATGGTAGAGGTAGAGGGTTGAGACTTGGAAAAATTACCTGACGCAATATACTTTCTGTTTACCTGCGCCTACGAAAAAAAATTAATGTCCGTGTTTTTGTTGTTGTACTTCACGCTCGTGGGTTTCCTCGCGAGATTAAAAAATTTCGTAGGGCAAATAATTTACCGGGCGAGTGCCATTGACCGCGCTCGGTGAACGACCGTTACTTTGCAGGCGCTAATGTCGTTCTTTCGGAATCCGGCAGTAGGTACTCATCTAACGGGTGTTGGCTACTCGTCTTTCTACGTAATGCACCTTCAATCAAATTGCACCATTCTAAAAAATTAGATCATAACGTTGACGGCAGATGGCGACGAAAAGTTATTATTAGGCGTAGTGCTTCCGTTTTTGTATTGATGTCGCTAGCTGCAAGGAAGCCTGGATGGACTTCGCGCAGTCCTTCAACTCCTAATGACCCACTTATATTTAGCGTTGCTCGCCGTTTTATTCCAGATCTTTTTTCCTTAATTGCGGGTACCCGATTCGTTATTTTTCGTAATTAGAAAGACATTGATTTGATCCGCATAGTAATCTGTAATACGAGGGATCTTAAATTACGGACGTTGAACCTATTTGCAAGGGTCCATGCGCACAGGACGTCACCGTTATCGTAACGATGCGAACCCCACCAAAGCGACCCAGATTTAGTACGTTCACCCAAAAGTATACTTCGCTCATCAAAAACAAAAGGGAAACATTTTTTTAAAATAAAGTCACTCCAGAAGAAATGTAAATGTTATCAACTCTTATGTGAAAAAATAAACCATCACAAAAATTCCCTACTTGCGTAATTCTTAATTGGGTACAAGAGTGCATTGACTTTGAGTTGTTGAGGTAGTACCGGGGTATTGTAATGACGTAAGTAGGATGGATGACGTACGTATTCGAGAAATTGGGTACAAAAAAAAGGTACATAGATAGATGTATTCTGGTAGTTCAATAAACTCGCGTGAATCATATACGTATTAGAATAGGAAAGTCATTGAACTTTGGGGGTATTTCCCGCGAGATTTTGAGAGCCGAGGCACTCCTCCTCAAAGACTGTAAGGTACCGTTCGTATTTGCATTGTCCATCGTTTCGAATTCGGGGAAGTTAAAGAGAGGAGTGTACTCTCACTTTCACGCAGTAAACTGGGCCCGTGAACAGGCATCTATGGGTTAACAACCGCGAACTAGGTCAGCAAGTTAACTGTGGCAAACTCGCAAGCCGCAAGCACTCAGTTTAATACTGGAAATTGTGATGTGAATACCATGCGCGTAAGACATCCGTCCGTAATTATTATTGTTCACTAAAGTTCTGTTGTGTAAAGGTGCTCGATTAATTTTTCAAAATGATGGCGGTGCTAACTCGCAACGAGTCCTTTAATGGGGATAACAGTTCGGGATGTGATAGTGACAATTGTATAACGTGCGATTGTTCTTCGCAGGGTTTCTTCAGGCGCAGCATTCAACAGAAAATTCAATACAGACCCTGCACCAAAAATCAACAATGCTCAATTCTTCGCATTAATCGGAATCGATGCCAGTACTGCAGACTGAAAAAGTGCATTGCAGTGGGAATGAGTCGAGATGGTAAGTAATTATTATTGTTATTTCGTTAGAGGTTAATGACACTAGTATATCATAACGGCCCGCTTACGAAAGTTCAATGAGGTGAATAACCCATTGACAATTTACTGGGTCAATTTAAGCTCGAGCGCGACATATTCGAAAGTTGTTCCCCGTTACCCAGCATCGCAATCGCAATACTTGCATAATGTCGGCGGCGCTTATAATCGGTGTTGAGGTCAGCCAGTGGAACTCCGGGATTTTAACCGTCGAAGTTGTGAAATTATAAAATTGGTGCTGTAACCTGGCGGCGTCGTCGCCTTGCACGGAAGGGTCATCGGAGCGCCGGCGTCGTGAACCCAAATCCCGGGCACGCGTGCTTGGGTCAACATCCTACGTAAAATCAACATAAATTCGGAAATCAATACCTACTACACCTCCACAACAAATAACTTGTAATTAAGCGCCGAATAGTTAGGCAGCACATAATACGTTTTCGAAAAAAAGTTTCCACCATAACACATTAGTATGTAATGTAGTAGTGATAAGATAGGATTAATTATTGGGAACCGACAGCCTTGGAGAACAACCCTTCGCGCGCGCGCTCAAGTTCAAGGGCGTAGGAGGGGAAGGTCTGGTGGGGAGCGCCGAGAGGGGATCGTGACCGTGGGCGCACGATGTGCTGCTCGTTCACGGCATCATTATACGTTAATACCGCCGTCGGGAATGCCAGCTTACGCGCTCCGTAGCCCGACAGTTCGTACACATGTGAAAGGTGAAAGTGTTATCTTAAGGTGTAATAATAACATGGGCGAAGAACTACCCATACTTAAAGGAATACTAAACGGTGTCGTCAACTATCACAATGCCCGTAGGTGTCTCAATTTTGTTCATTTATTTTTATTGTCGTGAAAAAAATCATCGCAAAATACTTTCTATTATATTTAATTCGGAACACTTTCAAACGTGTGAAAGCTGCTTCTCCCGCTATTGTTTAGATAAACTTTCTCCTTTTATTTTTTATCCCTTTGCGTGGACGAACGTATTTTTAATAACGGCCGGCAGATGTGTAGCAGCTGGCACGTGCCGTGCACCTGGTGGCCCTAAGGGCTGCCGACGTGCGTAAATATATCGCTAATAATTTTTTTTCCTTTGCAGCTGTGAGGTTCGGACGAGTACCAAAAAGAGAAAAGGCGCGGATCTTAGCGGCCATGCAGCAGAGTTCAAATTCGCGCTCGCTGGAGAAAGCCGTAGCCGCCGAACTGGAAGACGAGCAAAGGCTTTTATCGACAGTTGTGCGGGCACATCTCGATACTTGCGATTTCACAAGGGACAAGGTGGAGCCGATGTTGGCTCGTGCTCGAGAGCATCCCTCGTACACTGCGTGCCCTCCAACTTTGGTAAGTTTCCATTGTCTTAATAAAAAGAGAGTCAGTCAATGAACGGACTTTGTGTGAACCCCAAACAACAGATTTACGCACACCCAGACCGGGCGACCTTGCACGCAAAGAGCAAACGGAAACTTCCAAGGACTTTTATCATAGCGTCTTTGCCTATCAAGTTACATTGTGAAGGCTTCGCGATTTTGCTCTTTTGTTTCAAACATTCGTCATCAAACTAGGAAATGACCTACGACTACGCGCATACGATTTTGAACTTTCTGTTTTGCATTAGCAGTTTTGAGGAAAAAGCCTTCACATTCCTTTGGTAAACAAATCCTTGAATAGTGACCGTTGCTCAATCGTCTCGTTTCTCCCTATAATGTGTGTATTGTTTTTGTTACAGGCGTGCCCATTAAATCCAAACCCTCAACCGCTAACCGGCCAACAAGAACTTTTGCAAGATTTTTCGAAACGCTTTTCTCCCGCCATTCGGGGGGTTGTCGAATTCGCCAAGCGTATCCCAGGATTCTCCCTCCTCAGTCAAGACGATCAGGTTACTCTTCTGAAAGCGGGAGTTTTCGAAGTTCTTCTCGTACGTCTCGCGTGCATGTTTGACTCGCAAACGTCGAGTATGATTTGCTTAAATGGACAAGTGTTAAAACGGGAATCGATACACAATAGTTCTAACGCGAGGTTCCTTATGGACTCTATGTTTGATTTCGCGGATCGCATGAATTCGCTACGTTTGTCTGATGCCGAAATCGGTTTGTTTTGTTCGGTAGTGGTAATCGCGGCCGATCGTCCCGGTCTACGTAACACTGAACTGATCGAAAAAATGCATAATAAGTTAAAGGCGGCGTTGCAAATATTAGTTAAACAAAACCATCCCGGTCAGTCGGATGTTCTACACGAATTGATGAAGAAAGTACCAGATCTCCGCACCCTAAATACGCTGCATTCGGAAAAATTGTTGGCGTTTAAAATGACCGAACAACAACAACTGATGCAGCAGCAACAGCAAATGTGGACATCGGAAGAAGAAAGTAACAGCAAAAGTCCGGCCGCATCGTCGTGGTCATCGTCTTCTGACGTTGCCATGGAAGATGCCAAAAGTCCGTTGGGGTCCGTTTCCAGTACGGAATCGATGTGCTCGGGAGAGGTCGCATCAATGAACGACTATCACCATCCCGCGCCCCCGCACCACGTGAGTCCCAATGCTTCGAGCGCCCCCCTTTTGGCCGCAACGTTAGCGGGAGGCTTGTGCCCACAGAGGCATAGGGCAAATTCTGGTTCGACTTCTTCCGGAGACGACGAATTAACTGCAACTTCACATTTGATACATAATGGACTAACGATTACGCCAGTCTCTAGGCCGCAACCTCGCTTTAGGAAATTGGATTCGCCTAGCGATTCGGGCATCGAATCTGGCACGGAAAAGGTGGACAAAGCGAGCGCGCCCACGTCCGTGTGTTCGAGTCCTCGGTCGTCCATAGAAGATCATCACATTGTCGACGACATGCCCGTTCTCAAACGAGTGCTACAAGCACCACCCTTATATGACACAAACTCGTTAATGGACGAAGCGTATAAACCCCATAAGAAGTTCAGGGCGTTACGGAATAAAGATTCCGCGGAAGCGGAACCCGTAACGACTGTATCGCCTCAACCCCAACACAATCAAATACATTCTTCTTTATCCAGTACGCATTCTACTCTCGCAAAATCGTTAATGGAAGGCCCACGTATGACGGCAGAACAAATGAAACGCACCGACATAATTCACAATTACATAATGAGAGGCGACACAGTTACCACCGCTCCTCAGTCGTCATCTTCGCCGTCGTCCTGTCCCTTCAGCAAAAGTGGATCTCTATTACAGCCCGCTTGGGCGACTAGCGTCATAACGACAACGTCAAGGCAACCCTTCCTCCGCACCAGTACTCCACCTCCTCAACAAGATTACACGAGGGTATATTACCATCCACAGTCGCCGCATTCGACATCACCTGCGCCACCTCCGATCTCTACGACACCAAAAATAGTAGAGCTGCAGGTGGACATCGCGGATTCACAACAACCGCTAAACTTATCAAAAAAATCACCGTCCCCGTCGCCGCGGCCATTAAAAATAGTGACACTTGAAGTGTGAAGTTAGTACAAAGTGTAGTCCTAGTGTGGGGTTTTTTTTTAGACTGGAATGAAAGCGGCCCCTTCCAAACTGTAACCTGATGGTGCCACTTTAATCGTATTATAAACCAAATAATTTATTACATACTGAAAATCTATGTTTATGCGTGAAAAACCTATGTTTTAATGTCGTAGTTTGTAGTTGCGTTAGCGTAAATATATATTGTAAGTCGCGATTTTTTCCCATGTTCTCTCGTCTTACTTCCGCCATTACCAGCGGCGGCGGCGTCGTGTTCTTGTAAATAGCGGACCAACCCTTATAGCACTCGCCGCTTCCGCGCTTAGTTAAGGTTTTTCAACAATCATTAATTTAAATGGTTCCGTAATTGTAAAATAATGATGAAATTGGCATCATGCACCAATCCTATTGTAGATTTACGATTATAAATTAATATATATGTGATAAAATTTATTTGTAGAACAGTTTGTGTATAAATTTACGTTATATCTATCTCAGTTTGTAAAGAGATTCGTTATCATCTTCATTGTGCATGTTGGATCATCACCATTATTATCATTGTAGATAGTGAGTTGAGGTTGGGACAATGAGACTGAAGAGAGTATGCTAACTTACTCGTAATACGCAGCCAGTATCAACTTTTGGAGGTACAAACTAAAGAAAGTGCAACAGAGCGTGCTCTCTATTCAAAAGTTTCCTCACCTCGTCATCTCGGACGTGAAAGTTCTGTCGTCCCTCTGACGCTCTTGAAAATTTGTTCTCACTTAGTTAGTACCTAGAAAGTAACGCACGATCGATGTTCGATAATTAAATCTGAGTGCATCTATCGAGCGCAAAACAATCCATAGTAAAAATTTTGTAAAATTTGGAGTATGTTGAGGTTGTCAGAATAAATCATGTCTTGTAAAATTAAATCGTTTATTCTTTATCGCGAACCTTTGAACTTGTGTAAGCGGCCTTGGCGAAAAAAAGCGAATAACAAAATCAAGGTCGTCTTGTTTTAATGGACAGTTAGGAATAAACAGTCGAATGTTGCCTAGATCAGATAGGTCAAATCCAAGGTTTGCACTATTCAAGGTTTTTTTTATGGCCTGCATGTGCTTCGAAAAATTTGACCGCAGTGAATCACATTACATCCTCCGTTGTTGATTACTTTAAAGTATACGTAAATCGCAAAAACTTGCCCTTGAATAATAAAAATATTTGTGTAAAGCGGCATTACGTTTATAAAACGAAATTGTGGCATTGAAATATATTTACACATGATGATAGTCATTCTTATCTGAAAATATCTGGTTTATAACGGCGTATTCCGAAAATTCACTTCTCTAATAATTAGAAAAAGTGCGAATCGTATTTTACAGTGTCGAATGTTCTGTAGAAATTAACGGCTATTTAAATAGATTAGCAAATGACAGTATGGTAACACTCAAGGTCGAGTCCTATATATAATCATCGGCGGTTTCAAGGAACAAGGTCGACTAATCGGGAAACAAATAAGTCAACAATGATACACGCATTAACTTATTACGACTGACAAACAAAGCTATTAAAAGATTTCAAAACACGTAGCTACTACGTACATACAAATTGGAAGTGAGGGTGACTTTCGCCCGACTTAATTAAAACCTAAAATTCCATTGCGCTTAGGAAAGGGCCAAACAAATTTCGCAAAATTAAAAAGTACAATGTCAAGGTTTTATTGATTAGTAAGTAAGGAAGTTTTTATTGATTAATAAGTATTTCACCTCCGTCGGTTTTTAGAAATCAATTTCACGTGTCAGACGTTTGAATAATAACAAGGTCAAATTATAGTTATGTTTAAATAGGTATCTCCTAGCTCTGAATAGCCTCGATAGCAACTATAATAATCAAGGGCATTAAATCCTAGAAGTACTTATGGGTACGCAATTTCGATGCGAATTTTTTCTAAGGATCATCTAGTTGTTTTATTAGAAACGATTTAGAATGAGATTTTTAAATACACTGTTTACGACTCTCCATATTATGCGTTGTAGATTTCACGTAGGAATTGGGACTTTTCCAATTTTTATTATTTTTGATGTGGATATTGACAAAGTTTCAGGGTTAAACGTACATAATTCTGGTAAGGAATTTAGAAAAATACTAAAATGTATAAATCCCGGCGAGCAAGATTAAAAATAAATAAAATTTTGTTGTTTTCCAAGTATATAACTCTAAACTGCTTCAAAAAGTGTTCTGGTATAAATTTTATTTATAGTGTACACTGCCATGAGGAAACGGAGATTATAACGGTTAAAGCAATTGTTTCCTCCCTCCTCTTTCGTGGACCATGTAATACAGCAAGATGAGATTTCCATTGTGATAATCTACTGAGAAAGTAACTTTAATTAAAGCACTTAGGGGCGGTTTTTCATCATACCGGTAAATTTACGTGGAAGTTAATTTCCACGGAAACGGGTTTGAAACTTTAGTTTGACCCCCTTTTGAATACGCGCCCCTGGTCGAGAGTAAGGACTATATTATCAATCGATAAACGTCCCTGTTTTCTTAAAAGTTTGTGACGTTTATGAGTCATGAGAAATACGGTAACTTGGCGTATCAGTTACCCGAAAATATATCAATGAATATTGTGAAATTCCCAGTATCCTTAAGTGAACGTATGGGTATGACACTGGCAAATTTATTTTCATGATTCAAAGTTTGGATGATCTAATATCTAAATCACTTAAGTATTTCAAATGAAAATACCTACTAGGAGCATCCTAGTTACATTAGATACACGTTGAGTGAAGGAATCGAGTCACTCAACGGTTATACGTACTTACAGGGGTTTATTTTTATTACTATGTACTTAAATTTTCTGGGTCTCTATCTGTGGGTAAAAATATTGACGCGCAATTTTAATGAATTTTGAACGAAATGAGAATATTTCTCCCCGCTATTCGAAAATATGTGGATGTGAAAATTTTTAATCTTAAATAATCGGACCCATTCTAGTCTACAGTGGCCATATACAACAGTGGTTACCAAAGTGTAAAAATTAGTCGAGTATATTTCATGAAATAGAACAGTGTTTAAAAGTGGCAAAATCTGAATTTCCCATTTTCGCATAACCTTCACAACCTTATCTGCGGCGGTTTATTACAAACAATGACGTATAAATCGTTTACACGTGTAAAGACCTCCACCGAAATTTAAGCGTGCACGATAGGTACAGACGAAATTTTAATTACGCTTCACAATGTCCAGGGACGATTTATGTAAATATTGTTTAAACGGTAACACTTAAAGAAATAAGCTGTCAATTTAATGATCCCATAAAATCACTATTTACACGCCTTTCCTTCACGGAAATAAAAATTTGGTTTCGACATACGCGAAGGTCTTAACATCGTGCTATGTTTTTATCGATCAACAACAAGGAATTGAGAGCAATGTTGCTATAATAAATGGCAATTCCAACCCGAATCGTGGCACGAGTATTACAGAATTACGTATTTATTCGTGGCTTATTTTTGAAAAACTCGTTGAATAGGTATTATGAATAGAAGTAAAGTCATAACTTTATTCACAACCATTGAAAAAAAAACCTCGTTTATTCTAAATCAGTTCGTAATTCTAGTACCTAATACCGAGAAAAGAAAGAGCAGTTAATAAAATTAAATTATATCTGGGATAGTACCTATTGGATATACACGGTGTCCATTTTTCGAGTGTTACTATGGGGAAAATGTCTGATTTTCGTTTTTAATTTTTTTATGATAAACTAATCGTAGTACCCATTTCTAATTAACACATTATTCGGACACTTTGTAATGGATATTTCAAATATGACATCCGGTTTTTAATAACTTTCAAGATGACTGAGAAACACGTGGCAACTTTAGTTTTTCTTATGTGCGCCATTTTGAATTTTCACATTTCGAGATTACGTCTTTTTTTCTCTTTACAACGATAGTGGTTCAGTATCACATTTTTCCTTAAAATACAATTTTTAATTTTTTGAGAAGAGTGCTTTGGAAAAACAAAACGTTCTTTTGTTGTGAACAAAAGGTTGACTTATTTCATGTATTGTCATTTAGGTTTATGCTAGTTTTATTGCGAAAATGCCTTTTTCAAGTGCAGATCAAAGAGATGATGAAAATTTACTACACTTCTCATCGAAAGGCCCACATATGGCTGCTGCAACATACTTGCAGCGTTAAAGGTTGATTCTCACTATACGTAACGTTTCCATACCATATCCATTCCATAACCATTCCGTAAATTATTATACCTACGAAATTGACCTTTAAGTGATATGTGCGTAGACATTCATTCCCGCGCTAATACACATTCGCCTTCCATAGGTGAACGGAAAGGAGAATGTGTATTAGCGCGCGGCTAAATGTCTTACGCACATATCACAAGGTCAATTTCATAGGTATAATAATTTACGGAATGGTTATGGAAAGGATATGGTATGGAAACGTTATGTTAAGTGAGAATCAACCTTTATCCAGAGCGGCAACACCCTAGTTTGAGGTATTTTTCTTTGCTGCATAAAAACTTGGGCGAATATGGTTCTTTTAAAAGATGTAGACAGCAATATGGTGATAGACTCAATGAGTATGAGTAGGCAATTTTGCAAGCGGTAAAAATTTTACATAATTACAACTACTGATCCATTCATCATTTAATAATTGTTAATTAAGTGCAATAAAACAATCCATCTGTCTCCTAAAAAGAAGTTGCAGCCCAGCTGAATTTACAAAACATTGCCAGCCGACCTTGATGAACTTCGTCATAAAATTGTGAGCACTCTCAGGCACAAGAAGGGATGTGTCAAGAGCCATAGCAAATCTTAGGAAAAGAGTGGCACTGTGCGCAGAATTAGGAGGTGGGCAATTTGAACACATGTTGAGATGTATTATCTAATTTTAATTATAATTTTCTTGCAAAACGAAGGTTCAATTCTGTTCAGATGAAAATCGAATTTCTACTTCTCTGACAACGCTGCAACCAGACAGATGGATTAAACTGTCAAACTTTTGTTTACAACAAAAGAACGTTTTGTTTTTCCAAAGCACTCTTCTGAAAAAATTAAAAATTGTATTTTTAGGAAAAATGTGTTACTCAACCACCATGTGTGATACATCGTTGTAAAGAGAAAAAAAAGACGTTATCCCAAAATGTCAAAATTCAATATGGCGCCTATAAGAAAAACTAAAGTTGCCACGTGTTTCTCCGTCATCTTGAATGTTATTAAAAACAGAATGCCATATTTGAAATTTCCATTAAAAAGTGTCCGAATAATGTGTTAATTAGAAATGTCTACTACGATTAGTTTATCACAAAAAAATTAAAAACGAAAATCAGAAATTTTCGTTTTTTTGCGATATCTTCAAAACTATTGAAGATATTTCAAATTTCTTTTCAGATTCTTATTCAGCAACTTTGCTCCCATTTAACCAACTTTCTATCTCTTAAGAGAAGTGAGATCTCCATAGTGGCACTCGAAAAATGGACACCGTGTATAGAGACCGAGTTGAGAAATACAGAATTTTCTCATAGCGTTTTCCAAAGGTGTCTGCATATTTAACTTACGAGGATATCAGTCAATTTTTGGTATATTTACCATAATACAAAAGGAAAGACCCTAACGAAAGGAATACATTTCTACCAACTACAGCCGTTCTACCCGGCCCATTATCGCGAGCGGTAATAATACCTCATATCTCAAGAACAGAATGTTACCAAGGGCGAGTGGAATAGCTCTAAGCCGACACAAATATCTACTGGTGAGAGCAAAACCTCAAGAATAGGAATAGAGTATGGAAGAGAGTACGCAACGGCTGGAGGAGAAATAATACGGAGTGTCGGAAAAAGTCAAGGTCCATGCACTTCTGCGATTATGAACAATTTTGCGGAGAATTTCCCTAAGGACGGC